AGCATCCGCTTAGTGGATATAGTAAATAAACATTTTGAAAAACTCCTTTCGTTTCATATTATTATTCACTATTTATCTTCTTTTTTTAATCATGTTGTTTTAACAAAAGCAATGAGAAAATAGACACATTATAAGTCATACAACAATTTTGTTAACAATTCACCAACAACGCAAACAACATGAGTTTTTTTAGCGCTGCTCATGACTTCTGGGGATCATGTGAAACTATCCAGAAAATAAGGTCCTCTTTTCACTTCATCTCCATTCAAATGGATGCGAGTTTGGCATCTTGGTCTTCTACCGAGGATGTGTTGGTTTCTATAGATTCTAGATCTTAGTTTCTTTTGGTGGTCCTCTTTCTATAACCCCAATGTATAGGGCACCCTTTTTCTTTCCCCATATAAAACCTAATTGCGCCTTCTTGTTCTGATACATAATTCTATTCCAGCATTCATCATGCCAGTCATCATAGTCTGTGAAGAAAATAAGCATGATTGTGTTATATTTTTTGTTTTTCTATATCATTATATTGATTCCCTTTCACTGTTGTTTAGGTATCCTCACATTGAAAATGATCACTTGGTAAAGCTTTTGAAGCAATTGATTTCAAGTACAGCCCCACCATCAAGGGGTATGTGTGGTGGAAATGCTCCAAATGCAGCTGATGTACCTACTCTCTTGGGGCAGCGTTCATTTTCACTTCTGACCTGTAGGTGACATTTATTTAAGCTTTTAATTCATATTCTTTGTGGTACCTTTTGTTGGATGATTTGTCTAGTAAGCGACCAATGTTTTTCTTTTTTCAAATTTTGTTTGCAATATGTATCTTATAATTTATTTCAAGTTTCAATACTGTTATCATGTTCAATCATCCATGCATTGGGGGTTTGAATGTGTTTTCCCTCTCCTTTTGGAAGTTCTATCTGCAACATTTGCATGTGTTTTACTGTTATCATCATCATTTTTCATTTGGACTCCCTCAAAAGGTACATTTTCCCATTGTATTTAAAAAAGGAACACCTTCTCCCTTTCAGATGAAAGGGATCAAGTAAACAAAGAAATGAAACGCCCTCCTGCTCACATGCGTTGGCCTCACGCGAAAGCTCATCAGGTTCATGGGCTAAGCTTGAGAGAAATTGGGGGAGGATTCACTAGACATCACCGTGCACCATCTATCCGTGCTGCATCTTATGCCATTGCAAAGCCGTTGACCATGTTTCAGAAGATGAAAAATACTACAAGGCTAAGGGGACATCGAAACGCTGTCTATTGTGGTATGTTTTCTCATAAATCGGAGTTCAGAACTATTATCTAGGTAGATTTGGAAGTTTAGTTTACATGTTTTTTTTTGGAGTTTCTTTCTTAAGGGCACAATTTTTTTTGTACCTCCAACATTGGAGAGATTTCTGTCATGTTTAAATTCTTAATATTCCTATCTTGAACTATTAATGTTTCTGTCAATTTCTGTCCACTCATTTGGAGAGAAAATGAGATTTGTGCTTTGTTTACTTTTTAATATTCCAAAAATATCTTCAACTAATGATTGTCGCTTAATTTCTGTCCAGACAGCCAATCAAAAATGAGAAAGATAAAAAAAACACTTCTATAATCTATTCTCCTCCTCGTATCCCTTCTCTTTGCTGGTCATGTTCT